ATTTCTTGGCAACTACTTGGGGTTCTATTGTCTATTGACTCTGTTGACATGGGATGATACACGGCATGAGGGTAGCGGAGAAAATAATATCTTATCAAAAAAATTACAATTGCATTCATTGGCTGTAAATGAACCTGACGGGCATTTTGACATGTTGTTGGCAGTAGCTCTGTATTTATTGTCTTTGGGCACTGAGGTTGACACATGGTTGTTGGAACTGGAACACAGAAGCTTTGTGGGGACTGGTGATTTCCAGGCAACCTGTGAAATATTTGGAGTGGATGTGCTATTTGTTCCGATGCCCTATTGGGGAGCAGGAAGAATGATTCAACCATTCCTCTTGATGTGATAATTAAATCATAATTCCTAATGCACTTATTTTTTAAAGAAAAAATCTCATTCATCTTTCATGTAATTTATGGGGTGGCGGGTTATGTGGTGCCTTCACATATAATAATAATAATATTATTACATAGGCTGGACTGGAGAATATTTCATTGTCAGAGGTGTTATGCTCTGGGTGAGATTTTATACCAAGTTCCTGGCTGCCTTTCTTCAGCTACTTCTAAAGGGACACAACATTATTTGTAAAGAAAAGTGAGTTTCTCTCATGTCCTAAGCACCAATTCTCCACACATTCAATTGGTTGTTTGTAGGACAATGATATGTACATAATGTCTGTCACATTTGCTTACAATAACAGTCACTACATTTGAGAATAATTACTTTGAAATGCAGACATTGCCACATGATAAAGCACTATAAAAATGCAAGTTCATTCTCTTTTTTCATTTTCATATCCATTTAATCGTTTTATAATAATGATCCTTTCATGTCAGGAGAATATCTCAAGTGCTTCACAGGCTTTACTACAAGTAAATACTTTTACTGTAAAGTATTGTGACTGTGCATTCAACCCAATTGATCTCGTTCTTCCAGAATATCCACCCTACCATCTTTCCAGCACAGCATCAAGCTGTTTTTTNAGAGATTTTTATGAACCACTCCTACTTTGTGAAAACTTAAATGTTATATTGTTATACTAATACTAATGATGTGTGGTATTGTATCAAATGTAAGGCTTATTTTGCATGGTACTTTTTAAATGCTGGAAAGTGAGGCTATGGAGTTTTCTCCACAAACCTGTTGCACACAACTAACTTGAAGCACTTCTTGAAAGTATTATAAAGAAGGAGGCATTATTGTGTGGATAATTACCAATTTAACATGCACACAGATCAAACAGTAAAGATGGGAAACGTCTCAGAAAGGTGGTCATTTGGGGTTATCTAAATATAAGAAAATAAGAAAATAGGAGTATCAGTGGACTATTCAGCTTATCAAGCCTGTTGCACCATTTTATTAGATCATGGCTAATCTGCAATTTAATACCATTTCTCTACTCTTTCATTCTATCACTTGATATTGGAATATGTACATCTGATGGCTGGTGGTGGGTGGGATTCTCATGTATGGTGTATAACATTAGAACAGGCAGCAAGTTTGAAATCTCCTTTTTTTTATATAAGAGGCCGGCATTCATGAGAAATTTGCAAGAACAAGCCAACTATAATACTCAAGATGGCTCACACATCTAACACAAAACTATCTGCTTAAAGTAATTGAACACAACAAAAACAGATCAGAAAGCTTTATTTTGAAGTTGAAACATGAAATAGACCTTCTGCTTCATTCTGCCTGAGAGAAATAATAGAAAATAATCCTTGCATTTCAACTATATATATTGTGTGTATATATATATAAAACTTCAAAACATCTCAAAACTCTTCACAGGTAATTTATGTCACATGTTAAGCACTGTTAGATTGTATCCCACGTTAAGGGTGCTGCATAAACGCAGGTTGTTGTTATGTGTCAGCCTGGCTTGAGTTGGTATGACTCTAATCTCTGAGTCAGAAGATTGTAGGTTCAAACTCCATGTAGGTTTGAAACTCCACTGTCTGTATCCTCACCCATTCCGAACTCCCAACACCCTAGTCCTTGTCAGCTCCACTGGCTCCCTATTGCAGAATGGATCAATTTTAAGATTTGCACACTCAACTGCAAATCACTTCATGGCCTGGCACAACCCTACCTCTTCGACCTGCTTATACTCTACTCCTCTACCCACCCCTTCACTAAGCCAGCTTAGGCCTTTTGCACATCCCTTGACCCCTCTGCTCCACTATTGGCGTTCTTACTTTCAGCCCCTAAGCTCGAACCTTTGGAAGTCCCTGTCTCAATCCCTCCACCTTGTCTCCTTTGCCTGCCTTCAGATCGCACCTGAAGACTTTCTTCTTCAACCGTGCCTAGTCACCTCCTCTTTCTCTCCAGCTTGGCATCAAACCGTGCCACTGTTAAGCTCTCTGAGACACTATCCCGCATAAAGGGCACTATATGAATGCAAGTTGTTGTTGTTAGAACTTTTAACTCATATTCTAGGCTGACACTCCAGTGCAGTGCTGTGAGCATGCCACATCGTTGTAGGTACCATCCTTGGGGTGATACATTAAACTGAGATTTCATCTGCCTGTTGAGGTGGACGTTAAAGGTCCCAATAGTACTATTCGAAAAGTGAAGGAAGTTTCATAGCCAATAATCCCTCAAATAAAATTTGGTCATTCACTTCATGGCCTGCAAAATATAGCCATTACATTTTACAAAATATCCTGTGAAGTGCATTGAGATGTCCTCCAGGTGCTGTATCCAATGTAAGGGTTATTATTTGTATTAAAGCAGGGCAATCATCTTGTGCACAGCATACTCTCTTAAAATAACTATAAGGTAAAGAAATTCCCTTTTTCTCAAATAATGTTGTGGAATCTTTAATGTTCACGTGGACATACAGATATGACCTCAGTTTTAACATCTCATCTGATGGATGACACCTCTGACAATGTATCACACCACCAGCTTGGCACTGGAGTGCCAGCCAGGACTATCAGCTTAACTCCCCTCCGCGCGGATCCAAATCCCTGACTATGCAGCACCTTGGGACGTCCTCCCGACGTGAAAGGCGGTGTACAAATGTAATTTTGTATTCTATTTGTTAAGTTCTGATGTGGGACTTGAATCCACAATCTGCTGACCCAGAGGAGAGAGTGCGACCAACTAAGTCTGGCTGCCACACACCGAGATGGTTTCAAGTCCACTAAAACCTATCTTTCTGAGCTTTGCTGGCAGCTGATGGGAATTTTTCACCTCCTGCTGGTTTCAGGCCAATTGCTCCTGGAGTTTGCCATCCTGCTGGCGTCTAGTAGTTTATTGCTGGCACTGTTCTATTGGTAGTTTCTGGCTGCTGGTAATTGTGTGTGCATGTGTGCGGGAGGGGGGGGGAAGTAGGTAATGTCTCCTTTTGATAGTTGGGGAAAGGGGTGGTGCTGGATTTGCCTTCCTGGGTGGGGGGGGGGGGGGGGGGGGAGAATGGTTTGGTGGTGCTAACTTCTGGTAACCCAGGGTGGGGGCTCTGGTAACATGAGAGCAAAGCCAGCCCTCCTCCCTCTAATAACTGCTTGGGGTGGGGTCTGGATTTGCTCTATTACTGGTACCAATAACAACTTGCATTTATATAGTGGCCCTCACGCAGGATAGGGAAGCGACCTAGAGCGCTTGAATGGGAGAGGTGGGGGGATTTGTCTCCCTACTGTAAGTGGGGGTTGGATTTGATGTCCTGGTGGTAACAGGAGGGGGCTGGAGTTGGCTTCCTGCTGATAACTGAGGGTTGCCCTGCTGCTGGGAAGAGGATATCGGCTTCCTGTTGATGGAGGAGAGATGATGCTCTCCTGCTGGTCGCGGGTGGTGCTGCTGCTGTGAGCAGCACAGACACAGTGCGCTCTGCCTCGCTCCTGGATGCTGCTGCTGGTGGTGGTGGTTGAAGAAGCTGCTGCTCGAGTGGAGACACACAGACAGACACAGACAGACAGACAGACAGACAGACAGAGGGGATGCGGACCGTGGTCGGGGGGAAGCCTCGGGGCTGCTGCAAAAGCACAGAGCCAAAGCCCTTCCAAGTGCCGGGAGCCCCAGGCGGTGGCGTGAGGATGGTTTAAGTTTAGGAAGCGGTGCTCTGTGTGTGTGGTGCTGTGCTCTCTAGTGCTGTGCAGTGTGTGGTGCTGTGCTCTATGTGTGTGGTGCTGTGCTCTATAGTGCTGTGTGTGTGGTGCTGTGTGTGTGTGTGTGTGGGTGCTGTGCTCTATAGTGCTGTGTGTGTGTGTGTGGTGCTGTGTGTGGTGCTGTGCTCTATAGTGCTGTGTGTGTGGTGCTGTGCTCTATAGTGCTGTGTGTGTGGTGCTGTGCTCTATAGTGCTGTGTGTGTGGTGCTGTGCTCTATAGTGCTGTGTGTGTGTGTGGTGCTGTGCTCTATAGTGCTGTGTGTGTGTGTGTGGTGCTGTGCTCTATAGTGCTGTGTGTGTGGTGCTGTGCTCGATAGTGCTGTGTGTGTGTGTGGTGCTGTGCTCTATAGTGCTGTGTGTGTGGTGCTGTGCTCGATAGTGCTGTGTGTGTGTGTAGTGCTGTGCTATATAGTGCTGTGTGTGTGTGGTGCTGTGCTCGATAGTGCTGTGCTCTATAGTGCTGTGTGTGTGGTGCTGTGTGTGTGTGGTGCTGTGTGTGAGGTGCTGTGCTCGATAGTGCTGTGTGTGTGGTGCTGTGTAGTGTGTGGTGCTGTGCTCTATAGTGCTGTGTGTGTGAGGTGCTGTGCTCTATAGTGCTGTGTGTGTGTGGTGCTGTGTGTGTGTGTGTGTGAGCAGCAGCTTGTGCTGTGATTCCTCTCCAGGATTCAGCCTCTCTCTCTCTCTCTCTCTGTGTGTGTGTGTCTCTCTCCTCTGGTGCAGAGCTGCGGTGGCGTAGGCCCGAGTGAGTGAGAGAGTGAGAGGACTTCCCGGCAATTCTCCCTTTTCTTGTGAGTGTGCGAGAGAGTGAGTGTGAGAGAAGAGAGAAAGAAACCCAACATTCCCCGGAGAGAGAGAGAGAGTGGAGAGAGAGAGAGTGAGAGAGAGAGGGGGAAGGAAGCAGAAGGAGGGGGAGGGTTTTTTTAAAAAAAAAAGTTTGGAAGGTTTCCCCCCGTGATTTATGAGGTTTAGGAGTTTGGAAGTGCGTCGGGAAACCCCGGGGGGGAAACACACCCCAACCAACACAAAATGAAAGGCGTCGTGGCGGAGGGGCCGGTGGTGGTGGCGGTGGTGGTGGCGGCGGCGGCGCTGCTGCTGTTGGGCGGCGGCGGCTGCGTGTCGTTACCGAGCGGCTGCAAGAGGTTGGACGAACGTCCTAAAAGCGCCGGGAAACAGCTCCCGTCCTCTTCCTCCTCTCCTCTTCCTCTTCTTCCTCCTCGACAACCGTCCCAAACGCGGGGACGACCGAGAAGAAAGTGGTTTGCACCAACCTGGAGCTCGCGCACATCTTCCCCCTGGACGCCCTCCCACACAGGACCGTGACTCT